CAAGCGGAACAGGAGCAATGGACTGAGCAGAGCAAGCAAGGCAGGGGGAGCAACGAGCAAAGGCAGATACGGAGAACAACATGGGGACCAACGTGGTCTCCTCCTCCTGCTCCCTCCGCCGCCACCTCCTCCTCCTCCTCGACCCTCCTACCCTCCTTCCTCCGCCACCCCTCTTCTTGCCTGCCGCCTCCCGCGATGTGCCCGCGGGCGTATCCTGCGCGCTCCCCAGGAGGGACCCGGCGGAAGCCGTCTGGTCGCCGAGGCTGGGGTCCTGACCCGCGCCACGGGGCTTATTGGGAGGGCAGGGTGGTGAGAGTGCGGAAGGAAGGGGGGTGGGGTGCAACGACCGAAAAGGACGACATCAGGGAGGATCGCGCCGCCGGGCGTGTCGGAGAGCAGGGGGTGGGAAATGTAGAAGCAAGGATGGGAAAGCAGTCGAAGAGGACGACGAAAAGGAGGAGGAGGATGAGGGAGGAGGAGGAGGAGGAGGAGGAGGAAGAGGAGGAGGAGGAGGAGGGGGGGAGGACGAGGACGAAGAGGAACAGGAGGAGGAAGAGAAGGAAGTTGGAAAATAAAAGAAAGACGACGACGATACATAGGAGAAACAACATCACAAGCAACCGCAGTGCGAGGCGGGTGGAGAGGAGAGTAATAATTCAGAGAGGGGATTAATGCAGGAAGGGGGACGCCGAGGAGAAAGAAACATGTCCCAAGGAGGAGCAGGCGAACGATGAGGGAAGGGGGAAGGGGATGACGATAACGAAGAGGCCAAGCATACAGACAGGATGGGCGTGCATATATATATATATATATATATATATATGTATATGTATATGTACAAATACATGTATAAGCATGTATACACATATGGATGCGTATGTTTATGCGTATGCTTATGTCTGTGTATCTATGTATACGTGTATATATATATACATACATGTACAGATCTGATCCGTGCGTTCGGATGTGGCGAGCGTACACACACTGACACACTGACCTGTGAAATGAACCACACGGATCTGCCCGGGGTGGCGCACACCAAGCAAACTGCGCCACCTGAACAGACACAACACCCGCGGCAGGAGTGGCGGAGGAGGAGGAGGAGGAGGAGGAGGATGAGGAGGAGGGTGGGTGGGCACAGGGGGCGGCGCCTGGTGCCGCCGACGCTGGCGTCCGGGGCGACGGGCGCCGCGCGGCGCGAGAGAGCAGGAACACGGAGGTCGACGGGGCGGAGGCATGCGGGGAAGAAAACTCTGGCAAAGGCGAGATGCCTGAGATGACAAGATGGGGATCTGGCATCGACGGCCCAATCATGACACGAGCCTCGAGCGACCAAGCGTGGCATCGACCAGGCTGCACCTGCCGTGAGCGGACAAGTGAAGGCACCGCACAGAGGGGGGCGCGGAAAGCACGCCGGTCCCGCCCGCCCCCCCCCGCGAGACACCTTCGCCGATTGCATCCCACTCGACCCTTGTCGATAACGATGACAAGATGACAATGATGACGATGGCAATTGATGACAATGACGATGACGACGACGATGACAATTTCTGGTGCTGTACTGCTGTGCCACATGGCGAACGAAGCACGGAGCTCGCGTGAATGCCAATCCACGGGCCACTCTGAACGCGGTCCATCACCCGCCAATCAACACAACACATCAACATACAAAACACGCTGTGCAATAATTGCTGTGCTCGCAGGGGCACAGCAACTTCCGTGTCATCCGCGCAATCAGGCTGCGACACGCTGGCTTCATTCCAGTGCACAATTTCGGAGCAATGCCTCCGAACATGCAGCGAAATAACATGTGACGTGGCCTGCAATTTCTTAGGAGAAGAGCCACGGGAAGCTGGTGGTGACCGTTGCCGAGATACGGGCGAAGCAGATTCGCATGATTGCGCGCCAAGTCAACTCACTGACGAAGTTTCAAGGTGCCGCCCAATGTAACTAACCATTGACGATGTACGACGCACCTGTGTACCTCAAGCCTTCAACAACAGTACGTCCCACTGAGTTGTACGAAACCAAGCCAAACCTTGTCGACACCAAGGTCGGCAAATTTGGGCTGCCGCAACTCGATACTTCAAACAACCGTCCAAATACATGATGTCTGAATCCATCCGTATGTGAAAGACACGGAACATCATTACCACACAAATCAACTGACAAGATGTTCCACCACTTTTGGCAGAACGGAGCGTACCGATACCATCTGTCATGTGTTCGGTCGAAATGTCCAAAACTCCGACCGTGCGCAAACATTGACTTTTTTTTGGGGGGGGGTCGTCATCACCATGTGCTCTGTTGACGCAACATCCAACCTCGCTGGCCTCACACTTGTTTGGGGCGCATCTCCCTTCGAAGTGGCACCTAATTTTTAGAAAACGCAGGCAGCCAAGTGTAGCCCAGAGGAAACTATCACTCATCGAATATTTCCATTGGGAGCCTTCCTGTTCCGACGCAAAGACAAAAATCTGACCACATGCATGCGTCTCGTCAGACGCTAAGGAAGCCCTGCGACGACTATCTCCACTTTGTTTGACAGATGTTGCCGTCGGGGCGTTCCCAAAGTGGTATGACATTGTAGACACGTCGGCTAACAGCAATACATGCTCATCCAGTCTTTTGGGTACATAATTTCCTGCAAGCCCATGCTGTGAACGTCTGATCGTTTAGTCTGTCAACGCATTCTGCAGAAGTGCTTCTCACCTCCTGATTGTTGATCCATATTACCAACACCATGAACAATCAACGCCATGCGCAACAACAACACGAACTCGTGGAAGATCAGCCGCGCCCATACGGTCACTGGATGATGTGAGCCCATAACAGAACTGCCAAGAACGGGGTGCTGGTATTCCTAAACCCATGTGCATGTTGAGGGCATGTGAATTTACAAGCTACCGATTGCTTGAGAAAGAACGCTGGACAGAACGTGTGATGTGTCTTGTGGTGTTCTGGTTTGCACCACCGCATCTATCCCTAACAACCAACATTCGCTGCGTGTCGTCTATGCCGTGCAACTCGGCAACGAGCACGTCATCAACTTATTGTGGCTGCCGTCCGAGATGACCGTGGGCAGTCGAAGCATTCAAATACCACCTTGGTAAATTATTTGCTCGCTCACATGGGCTTCATATCGCCAAGCCGGGTTAACGCGGTCCTGTCAGACTCTCTTGCACAAATAATGACAGTTCGTGGCGCAGCCTGCCATGTTCCGCTGGGAGGGCTCGGTTTGCATGGCCAACCAACACGAATGTTCCCAATAACAAGTAAGTGAACATTGCAGACGTTGGTCGGACTGAAGAACCAATATATTGCACCGCTTGCGGTGTACTGCGATGTCCTCGGCTACATAAGCGTGTCTATGGTGATTGACTCACGTCGTACCACATACAGTAGGAGCTCGACCACAAGAAACCATCCACAAGAAGCCCAACCCTGAGACCCCAGGACGTCTGTTGATTTTGGGTGTGGGCAGGTCACGCTTCCCGCCCATGGCACCCTGGAGGCAAGCAGGGCGCGTCTTGGCACGGGCTTCCACTGGAATAGCTGCCAGCGCCTGGCCATCTGGCTCAATTAGGCGATTGCGGCATGCGCTATCTCCCCCCTGGGCACCACATCGGAAGCATGTGCGCTGACGGTGCCGCGCTGCTCGCGGCCGCCGCCCGTGCAGCTTGCCGGGCCACGATGCCTCGTCGAACCGTCCAGGCGGCTGCCGCTGCTGTCCACAGGCGTGGTTGCCCATCCCATGCCACAGAGGCCAGGCCTCGACCCCGCGGTCGGACCCGACGAGGCGGGTCACGCGAGGGGGACACAGGACCCTTCCGAGGGCCACACTGCCACAGGCATGCAGGAGGCAGGGTCGCGACGAGGCACAAAGGGCACAAGGGCACCCTTGATTTGGCAGGGCCGACTGAGTATCGTTGAACCGATCCCCATCCCCAGGGGCGTGGCCTGGGCCCCACTGGCCGATTGACGCCCCCGGATGGGGATGCAGGCCGCTCCCCTTGGGTTTCGAGGTGTGCATCCCCAGCGAGGGGGGGTACTTTGGTGGGGGTCTCGAAGGGGATGGGGATGGGGATGGGGATCGGTTCAGCGATACTGAGACCTGCGACTCCAGGCCGACCGACCTCCGCGGGGGCCCGCCAAAGTGCCCAGGTCGCCCGCGCTCCCGCCGAGGAGCCTGCCGCCCTGGTGGACACGCTGCGGGGCCGCTCGCCGCGCCCGACGTTTTCTGATGCGCCTGTCTTGCACCACCACCACCACCACCACAAGTTGGAGGGCGGAAGGAGGAGGAGGGCGAGGAGGAGGGCGAGGAGGAGGAGGAGGAGGCGGAGGAGGAGGAAGGGGAGGAGGAGGACCCCCCCTTCCGACTTCTGATGGCGGTGGTGGAACACACGCCCATCATGTTCGGCAGGCAGCCGGACGCACCGAGGCCCGGCTGGCAGCCTCCCATCCACGCCAGCGTACCCAATACACCCCGGTCGACGGCACGCCTCTCGCGCTGCCGATGCGACCGCTCGTGGTGCGGCCTGCGGTGGCGCGGACCGCGGGGCGGCTCCGCAGGGAGCGGCCTGCGCAGGCAGCCACGCTGCTGGCGCTGCTCCGCCGCAGCGGCGAAAATCGGAGGCAAACGAACCTACCTCGCTTTTGACCACCCTCGTTTCCAAACGATACCCAACGATACCAGGCTACGGCCCGCACCAGTCGGGTCGCTTGACCAGGAGGCGCGTGGTATGACTTGGTCTTGTCTGGAAGCGAAAGCGGGGCAGGTAATTCACGCTCTGAGAAAAGAAGCGGGTCGTAGGCACGACGGCACGGCGACCTCACACCGAGGCTTGCGCGGGCCGCCGGCGCGTCACGCCACACTGGCAACGCGGGCGCTTGCGCGCGACCTTCTGCGGGCAGCTTGCGCGCCAATGTCGGTGTAGACTGCCCCGTTTCTGCGTCGTCCATGCGACGTGCCAGCAGAATGTTCACTCGTTCGGCAAAAAGCCAGCCGACGGCAGCTGCTCCGACGCGAGCCGCTTCTCGTCGCAGTCCCCATGCGCTCCAAGTGCCTGCTCCCACCGAACGCTAGTAAGGCCGAGGACAATAGCACCGATCTGGGCAACGATGCATCCTCGTCAGGGAAGTTCCGCGCTGGGTCATAATCTGTCCTTTCTGGCAGCAAGACTGTCAGGCGTGGAGAAGCTCCGCCTGACTATTCCGCTCGCTGGTCCGTCGCTTGTACTCCAAGTGTCAGTTGCAATTAATATTATGACGGGGGTCCTTCTTTGCTCTTGTGATCCACGTTTTACCTGTGAGTTCACCATATGCCAACCTCGCTGCATCGGGTGCCAAACAGTAGTTCTTACAGAACAAGTCGTCCCTGCATACTGTCCTTACTAGCTGTCTGAAAACGGCAAGGAGTGACTGAGCCTCAAGCGAAACGCTTGGACCACCCTGCTGGCAAGTCTTGTGGTGCGACAACGAGGAGCGGCTCACAAGGACGAGGCCTACAACTACCAACGCTTCTAAACCAATGCCCTCGCGGTCTGGACACCCAAAAGCGCTATGCCATGCACGCGCGATCCCATAAATACGCTCCGCGCGGGAAGTGGACGCATGTCAGCCATGTGCGCACAAAGTCGCGGGCCAATGATCATGGAGTCGCGATCCCACCCATGAGTTCCACGCGGGCCAGCAACGCAACTCCGCCCTTTATCACAAGGCTAACCAGGCGAAGAGTCTGGACCGCGAGACCGTGAGCATGGGAGTGCCTCCCACACACGAGGGGGGACGGGCGGATGGACTGAGGAGTAGCGATAGGAGGAACCAGCTCATGGCGGGAACCATCGACCTGGAATCGGCGATGCATCGCCGATTGGTCAGCGATGGGCCCCGATTGCGAAACCTCGCGCTTCTGGGCAGGGTGGGCTGTCGGGCACCCACTGGCGGCGAATGGGCAGTTGGAAGCCGAGGAATCCTGCCATGGGCCTCTTCCCCCCGAACCTTGGGCGAAAGGGAACTATGCAGGACTATGCACATACGCCACTCAGGGCCAGGCCCACCCTGAGCCCAGGATCGGTGCAGGCGCCCTGACGGCCTGGCCAGGGAGGCACGTGCACCGATCTCGGGCCAAAGACGGGCCCCGCCAGGATCGACCTGTGTATGTGTAACTACAGTTATCTTCGCCCGAAGCGTTGCCTCTCATGGACGAGGGCGAACCTTTGACTTGCCTCCAGTCTGGCTGCGCAAGCTCCCGACGAGTCATTGGCTCCTCCCCGCCGCCAAGGCCGCGCCAAGCGCCGTTCGGCGAACCCCACCGCGGCATGGCCCCCTCGCCGGCGGCCGCGTGGCCGACGAACAGCGCGCCTTCGCCATCGCGACTCTCCTCGCCGCGGCCGCCGCGCAGGCGCTGCGCGCCCCAGGCGTCCCCAGAACTCTCGCCGAAGGCGCCCTGGCGCGCCGTGAGGTCGTCGCGGCTCTCCTCGTGGCGGCCGCCGCGCAGGCGCTGCGCTCCCCAGGCGTCCCCGGAGCTCACGCCGAAGGCGCCCGGGCGCGCCGCGAGCCCGCCCCCTCGTCGGGTCTTTCCAGATGTGGTCCTGGCCCGAGGTGGCCCCAGCCCTGCCGCAGGGAGGCGCAGGTGGTTTCTGCAGAGCACGCCCCCACGAGGCCCGGAGGGCCCTGCAAGGACCCCGACATGGAGCCAAGAGCTGGGGACACCCTGGGCCAAGAACACCTTCAGCAACCCCCGAGGCCTCGGTCCGGCCACCGGCCGTCCGCGCGCGTGCGGCCCTCCCTCGGCCCGGCCTGCCGCTCCAGGTCACTCATCGTGGCCCGGAGCCGCCGCATCTCGCGCAGCAGCTCCTGCGACTGCCGGCCCGCGCTGGGCACGCCGGCCCCCGACGGCGGCTGCCGGTCCCAGCCGACGTGCCGCGAGGACGCGGGCGTTGACAGCGAGCGTACCCTGCTCAGCTCCTCGCCGCCGCCGCCAGGGAGGACGGTGAGCGCCTCGAGGGCCCCGAAGCCGCCACGCTCCGAGGCGGTGCCTCCCAGGGCGTCCGCCGCGTCCGCGGCCCCGCGGCGAAGCTCCGCCGGCTGCGGCGCTCGGAGGCAGGGCGGCGGCATCAGTATCGGGGGCGACAGGCCCATCGGCGCCTCCAGCGCGGCGCCTCCTCCGAAGCGCGAGTCCGCCTGGCCCTGGCGCCCGAGCGCGCCAAAGGCGTTGCGGCCTCCCTCCGGGACAAAGAGCGGCGGCGGTGAGGCCTGGGCCCCAGCCCACGCCACCGGCTCGGTGGCGAACCGTCGTGGGAAGTCGTTCTGCGCCTCCACCTGCGCCCGCGGACTGTGGAGCCCCCGCGGGCTGCGGAGCGCCCCCTGCCAACCTGTCTCCGCCTGCGTCGCCGACTCCGCAGCGAGCGAGCGCGAGCTGCCGCGCGGCGCCCGCGCCACCGGCTCGCCGCACCCGCCGCCGTCGGCCGCCGCTCTGCCCGCGGCCGCGGCCGCGTCGGGCCTGCCCGCGGCAGGCCGCAGCGCCTTCACCTGCCCCTCCAGGACCTGCACGCGCTCCGTCTTCGACGCCAGCTCGCGCGACAGCTCCAGGCCGCGGCGCTGCTGCTCCTCCATGGCGCCCTCGAGCTCCTCCATGTGCAGCCGCAGGCGCTGCAGCTCCCGCCTGGTGCGGGCCGCGTCCCGCGGGGTGTCCGTGGGCTCGGCGCCTCCAGGCGGCTGGATCTCCGGGCCGCTGGCTCCCGCTTGCCTCAGCTGCTGGGTCTCAGCGGCGTGCTGCTCCTGCCGGGTGTCGCTAGAGGAGGAGGAGGAGGAGGAGGAGGAGGAGGAGGAGGAGGAGGAGGAGGAGGAGGCGGAGGCGGAGGCGGAGGTGGACGCGGAGGCGGAGGCGGAGGCGGAGGCGGAGGGAGGAGGAGGAGGAGGAGGAGGAGGAGGAGGAGGAGGAGGGGAGGAAGAGGAGGAGGAGGAGGAGGAGGAGGAGGAGGAGGAGGAGGAGGAGGAGGAGGAGGAGCCTCTCCCGGGGAGGCCCAGGTAACCTCCAGAGCATCTCTCACGAGGTCCACAGGGGGTCCAAGATGTGGCGTGCAAGGCCGGGGGCACCAAGGGCCAGGATCACCTCTTGGCAGCCTGCGATCCTTCAACTGCTGGATCTCCGAGCGCTGCTCCTCGCACAGCCGCCTGAACTCCTCGATCTGTTGCTCGCGCAGCTGCAGCAGCCCGGCCATCATCTCGAGCTCCTTGTGCTTGGCCGCCATCGATGCCGCTACCTCGAAGACAAAAACACGGCACACACATAAACTGTCGGACGAAAATCCGCGCGGATTTCTTTCGGGGACGCACCGACCCAGGCCCGTGCAAACCCGGGTCAGGCAGGCTCTGGATCCTGAAGGATCCTGCGCGCAAGCCCTGTTCAATGCAGCCCTGGCTCTGCAGGATCCTGCAAGGTACGGCGCCTTGGCTGACCCCCGTTGACAGGCGGGGCGTTGACCCAAGGAACCCTAAATAAGGAACAAGGCCCCTGTTTTTCCATAAGTTACACTTGGATTTCCGATCAAAAACAGAAGGCAAACCCGAGGCGAGCTGTGAAACGCTCAAGGAACACGGAGCCCCTCCCCAACGAAAAGGGGTCCTTCTTCAGGGCCCCGACTGTACATGAACCCTTGCCCCTTGATCCCCGGTTCTTGCGCCGCCCATCTCCCCCTGCGCGCGCCAGGTAAGGCCCTGGAGGTGCCGCCCAAGAGGTCTGCGCGGACCTCCAAGAGAGGTGGATGCTCACGCTTCTGCTGGTGGCTCTCGACACCCCTCCACTCCTGCTTCCCTACTGGCTCACCCTTTGCGCCGGGCCAGCGGGCCTCAGAGCGCAAACAGTCCCAGTAGAAAGGATTTGTTTTTGCCCGCGAGGCTCCAACTGCAACAAAGAACAGCGGCTGTCTGGAACGCAACGGAACAGAACGGAACGCCTGTGTGGGCATGCGCCCGGGCCCCTTAAGGGCGAGGCGGGTGAGGCCATGGCCTCGCATGAGAAGCTGCGCGCGTCGGGGGTCTACTCAGGACAACGCGTGCTTCAGGAGCTGATTTCCCGACAGTCCCCACTCAACCGTTTTCTCATGATGTAGCCACGTCGTCTCGTTGATTGAAATCGTAATTAGTGCTTGTGGTGTGAGACAGCGGCTGTCTGGAAGAAAGCCCAAACAGCCGATGAAGTACCAGGGGACGAGACAGCGGCCAGAACGCACGTGCAGGAGAAGGAGCCGCTACATCTCCATGCGGGGTGCCACGGCTCAGCGGACCGCCGCACGAGGAGACAACTCCACACCCTCCTCCTCCTCCTCCTCCTCCTCCTCCTCCTCCTCCTCCTCCTCGTCCTCCTGAGTCCTGGCCCAAATCAGTTCAAATCGGTCCCTGGCGCCCTCCAGGGGTCCATCCTGGCAGAATTGTCATGCTGGGCCGATTGTGATGTCCCAGAAGTTGAAATGAATTCCGAGACGCAGACAATTACAACAAGGCTCCCCCGTTATGGGTCCCCGAACTTCCTCTTCACGATGACGTCGACATTGGATTCTAATACCGCGTGGAGAATTATTACTCGAACAATCGCCACTTTCTGACAAGCGTGATCGCTCAGTGCTGTCTGAGTTCAAGGCGCTGGCGGGATCAACCTTGAATGCCCGCGCTGGCGCCAACGCCGCGTTGACGCGGCTCGAAGCTGCTGCGTGCCTGTTCTTCTGGTCTGTGAACATCCAAGGTCCGGGGGTACAAATTACAATCAACCAGCACAATAAGGATGAGCGGTAAGGATGCAAGGGCCTTGGAACGCCATGTTGACGTTTTCCGCGCGGAGCGCGGCCGAATTCCGATGGATGCAAGGGTACCCTGACGAGCCGCCATCCTGGCCGAGCGTTGGCCAGCGAAAGTTGGCAAGGATGCGCCGAAGGGGCAAGGATGCAAGGGTACCCTGGCCAAGCTGCCCCATCCTCACTGCCCCATCCTCATGGAAGCGCAGGCGAAGGCGAGGAGGGGAATCAAACGGGAGAAAGAAGACGGCCGTCCAGGATGCACTCCCCTCCTTTTCGAATCCGACCATCCGATGTTAGGGGCGAATAGGGGTCGCCCTGCCACACACTCTGGTAACTTAGGGGAAGGGCTTGCTCTTTCTCCAAAACCTCCCCTGGGTCTGAATGAGATCGCAGAGACACCGAGGGCTCTCAACAGGGAAACCGGTTTCGGTTTCATGTCGTGCGTGCGGGCGAGTCGAAGCTGAGTGAGAAGGCCAGAAGAACGCACCCTCACTTGCTAGGGAGCCGCGGCCCAAACGTCCGCCCCCCCCCCCTCCCAGGTTGGCCAGCGGTGGCTGGGGGTGCCCCACCGTAGTGTCCCGATGGTGTCCCGTGGTGTCCCGTGGTGTCCCGCGGTGGCCCGTGGTTTCCCGTGGCGCGGTGTCCCGTAGTGTCCTGTGGAGTCCCGTGAGCGCGATAGTGAGATCGACAGTGCGCTCGATAGTGAAATCGATAGTGAGACTGATAGTGATATCGATTGTGAATTCGATTGTGAGATGGGTTGTCAGATCGATAGGGGAGATCGCTAGTGAGATCGATCGTGAAATAGATAGTGTAATCGATAGCGATATCGATAGTGGGATCGGTAGTGAGCCCGTATGTCAGATTGTTTGTGAGGTAAATCGTGGAATCGCTAGTGGGATCGATAGTGACATCGAGAGTGAGCTCGATAGTGTGATCGTTCGTGAAATAGATAGTGAGATCGATAGTGATATCGATTGTGAGATCAATAATGGTATCGATTGCTGTATCGGTAGTGAGATCGACAGTGATATCAATCGTGAGATCGATAGTGAGATCGACTGTGAGATCGATAGGGGGATCGCTAATCAGATCGATCAGGAAAACTGGATTGAGAGATATTGATATCGACTGTGAGATCGATCAGGAGATTGATTGCCAGATCGATTGCGATCTTGATGGTGAGATCGATCGTGTGTGATCAACGATGATATCGATAGTGATATCGATAGTGAGATCGATTGAGTGAGACGTTGGTTCCTCCCCCCGAGCCTACTTATCACCCGAAGGATGGTCGTACAGGTATGGTGCTCGAATTCCCTGCGGGGGTCTAGCGGGGCCTCCCTGGAGGGGCCGGAGGGGCACGACACATGATACACGATATGGTACTCGACCGCGGTCTGGCGGGGACCCCCTGGAGGGTTGGGAGAGGCACGAGACCTGATAACCCCATTAGCCCTTTAGGGCGTGGGTGGCTTAACGAGTGTCCTCTTCCAACCCCCTTTCCTCCCTTCGGGTTTGCCACTGTTCATTATTAGTATACGCCCCCTCCCCCAGGCGACCGGGGGCCAACTAAGAACAACGAGGACACCATGACTACCCGCCCCCCACCATCTCTATCAAAAACAATACAAGACGCACGCTGCCTCCACATTTGGAGCAAGCGCGGCCAACCCGATGAGGCTCCCCCCACCATCCCCGTCAAATGCCAATGCAAAAAACACTTTGGGGCAAAGCCTTCAGTCATGTTCGTGAGGCCCGCGAGCACTTCGTGTTGTTTTTGACAAGGACGGCAATGGTGTCAGCATATTCCCCACTGTGCGCAGGGCTACCATCCCTGACAACAAAAACAATACAACATGCACCTCGCGGCTAAATCTGGACCATGCGCGGCCATCCCGCGATCACTGTCGAGTGGTTTTTGATAGGGACGGCGGGGGCGTTGGCGCGTGGCCTGCTGTGCGCAGGCCCGGCAGACACAACTACGGGCACCGGTTTTCGACAAGGATGGCGGGGACCGACATGTTTCCCGATGCGTGCTGTCACGTACGCAGGCGAACCTGACGCACTCTGCACGTGCCCCGAACGCGGCGCACCTGGCGCGGCTGGAATGTGCGGCACACCTGGCGCACTCGGAGCACGCGGCGCATCTGGAGCACAAGACGTGCCTGGCACGCTCGGGCCCAAGGGGTGCCTGACGCGCGTGGCGCCCCTAGCACGCGTGGCGCACCACGCCCAAAAGTCGCGCACCTGGGGTCGGCTTTGGTTCCCAGTAGCTGTCCATCCAAAGACGACGTGCTACTTATGTGTAGGGAGGGCTTGTGGGATGAGCTAGACGGCTGGCGGGCGGGTGGTTGTCTTGATCACGGTTCCCTATTAATATAATTACACCCCCTCCCCAAGGCGACCGAGGGCCAACCAAGCACCATGCGGACACCATGACAACCCGCCCCTCACCATCCCTGCAAGAAAACAATCCAGACCGCTGCCTCCACATTTGGAGCAAGCGCGGCCAACCCGAGGAGCCGCCATCCCCGATACAAAACAATGCAAAAAACACTAGGGGGGCAACGTCTTTAGTCATGTTCGTGAGGCCCGCGAGAACTTCGTATTGTTTGTGACAAGGGCGGCGGGGGTGTCAGCATATCCCCTACTGTGCGCAGGGCTACCACCCCTACAATACAACATGCACCTCGCGGCTAAATCTGGATCATGCGCGGCCATCCCGCGATCACTGTCGAGTGGTTTTTGATAGGGACGGCGGGGGTGGTGGCGCGTGGCCTGCTGTGCGCAGGCCCAGCAGACACAATGATGGGCATCGGTTTTCGACAAGGATGGCGGGGCCGGCATGTTTCCCGATGCGTGCTGTCACGTGCGCAATCGCATCTGACGCACTCTGTACGTGCCCCGAAAGCGGCGCAACTGGCGCGGCTGGAGTGGGCGGCACACCTGGCGCACTCGGAGCACGCGGCGCATCTGGCGCACCAGGTGTGCCTGGCACGCTCGGGCCCCAGGGGTGCCTGGCGCGCGTGGCGCCCCTGGTACGCTTGGCGCACCTGGCCCAAACATCGCGCACCTGGGTCGGCGTTGGTTTCCAGTAGCTGCCCGTCCAAAGACGACCGCCGAACATGCTCAGGCTCGAGTGTTACTTCTGTGTAGGGAGGCGGGTGGGAGTGAGCTAGACGGCTCGTGGGCGTGTGGGTGCCTTGACCCCTCCCCCTACCCCCTCCCCTGGACCTGGAAAGGGGGCTTCGCAGGCCACTGGGGCGTCCAAGAAGGCATCGGCGAGACGGCACCCATCCGTGATGTTGCATCGGCTGTGGGCCCATCTGGGCCTCCTGGGGTGAGGGGCCTGATATGGTACCCCCGCTTCCTTGTTCGAGCTCTTCCAAGATGGCCCCAAACGTTCCCAAGAGTGCCCTAAGAGTGCCCCAAGGGGGCCCCAAGAGGCCCCAAGAGGCCCCAAGAGGCCCCAAAGAGGTCCCCAAGAGACCCCCAAGAGACCCCAAAGAGGCCCCAAGAAGCTCCCCCGAGGCACCCAAGACGCTCCAAGAGGCCCCCAAGAGACCGCGAGACCCCAAAGGGGCCCCAAGAAGCTCCCCCGAGGCACCCAAGACGCTCCAAGAGGCCCGCAAGAGACCGCCAAACAGGTCCCCAAGACGCCCCAAGAGGACTCCAAGAAGCTCTCAAGAGACATTCGAAGAGACCCCGAGGGGCATACAACATGCCTCTGACCAGTTTGCTCTCTCTCCTTCTCCTATTCCTCATCCGCCTGTTCCGCCTCATCTCTCCTGGCTTCTCCCCCTCCCCCAAGGCCTCCTCCGACTCCTCCTCTATCCTCCCTCCCTTGGGGTATAACGGCTTCCCCAGCCCTTTATTCCACTGCATGCTGCTCCACATCCCTGATCAGGGCAACTCGCCTGGGCATCGTTTCTGGATGTGCTGGTGGAATTACGCGAAACGTCTAGAATAATCGGAAGTGAGGGAGAGGGATCGCAATGAAACGGAGAGCCAAAGAGAGAGTTCTCAATGAAACGGAGAGCCCCCCACCGGGAAATCGGTTTAGGTTTCGTGTTCGTGTCGTGCGTGCGGGCGAAGCGAAGCTGCGTGGGCGGACAAGAAGAACGAACCCTCACTTGCCAGGGCGCCGCCGGGCCCAAAATCCGCCCCCCCGGTTGGCCAACGGTGTCTGGGGGTGTCCCGCCGTTGTGTCCCGTGGTGTACCGTGGTGTCCCATGTTGTCCGGTGGTGTCCCAAGGTGCCCCAAAGTGTCCCAAAAGGTCCCGCGGCGCGGCGTCCCGTGGTGTCCCGTGAGGTCGAGAATAAGATCGATAGTGAGATCGATAGTCGGATCGACAGTGAGATTGATAGTGAGGCCGATGGTGGGATCGATAGTGAGATCGATAGTGAGTTCGATAATCAGTGACATCGCTCGTGAGATCGATAGTGAGCTCGATCGCGTGAGACCGATGGTGAGATCGATAGTGAGGTCGATAGTGAGATCAATAGAGACCGATAGTGGGATCGATCGAGTGGAACCGACGGTGAGATCGATTGCCTGAGACGTCGCCTCCTCCCCCCCCCGGACCTCCTTACGAGCCATAGGGTTCTCGTAAATGCATGGTTCTCGACAAAATCTGCCGCGGTCTGGCGGGGCCTCCCCTGGAGAGGTCAGACATGCATGCAGCCTGATACACTCAGTACGGTACTCCAGATTTCGTAATCAAGGGAAGGGGGTCTCATTTCGGGGGGGGGGGTCTCTTCCCGGCTATCTCGGAGGGCCTGGGGGGTCTGGGGACGATGTTTTGGAGGGTTCTCCCACGGGGGAGGTCTGAAATGGCTTTTTCTTGGAGGGTCCAGACCCCCTCCCTTTTATTACGAAATCTGGAGTACTCGAATACCCTGTCGCGGTCTGGCGGAGCCTCCCCCGAGTGGGTGGGTGGAGCACGGCACCCGATAGGCAGCGTGGTGCTCGGCTGCCCTGCTGCCGCGGTCTGGTGGGATCTCCCTGGAGGGCAGGGAGAGACACGAGGGTCGCCCCGGATTCCTTCCAGGGAGTTGGAATCCTTCGAATTCCATGGTACTTCTAGGAATCATTGGGCCCCCTAGGATTCCCCCCCCCCCAGAAATGACAAGTCATCGGATTCCAGAGAACTCATAATATTCCCTACCAGAATCTGGCAATCCCCCCAGTTCCCAAGACTCGCCATAAACTGAGACGCCCTTATCGGGGAATCGGTTTCGGTTTCGTGTTCGCGTCGTGCGAGGTGGAGCTGCGTTGCTAAGGCGAAACTGGGTCAAACATTGCTCCCCCCCGTTGGCCGCCCCAGGGGTGTTCAGCCGGCTGGCTGGCAGTGGCTTGGGACTGTCCCTATGGTGTTCAAATGGTGTCCACGTGGTGCCCCGATGGTGTCCCGATGATGTTCAAATGGTGTCCCGATGGTGTCGGCATAGTGTCCCGATGGTGTCCACATGGTGCCCCGATGGTGTCCCGATGGTGTCGGCATGGTGTCCCGATGGTGTCCCGATGGTGTTCCGATGTTGTTCCGATGGTGTCCCGATGGTGTCCTGGTGGTGTCCCGATGGTGTCCCGATGGTGTCCCGATGCTGCCCCGATAATGTTCCGATGGTGTCTCGATGGTGTCGACATGGTGTCCCGATGATGTCCAAATGGTGTCCCGATGGTGTCGACATGGTGTCCCGATGGTAATGACGTCCCGATGGTGTTCCGATGGTGTCCCGATGGTGTCCTGGTTGTGTCCCGATGGTGTCCCGATGGTGTCCCGATGGAGTCTCGATAGTGTCCCGATGGTATTGATATGGTGTCCTGATGGTGTCCACATGGTGTCTCGATTGTGTCCACATGGTGTCCCGATGATGTCTAGATGGTGTCCCGATGGAGCTCCGATGGTGCCTCGATGGAGCCCCACTGGTGTCCCGATGGTGTCCCCATGGTGTCCAGATGGTGTTCCGATGGTGTCCATATGGTGTCCCGATGGTGTCGACATGGTGTCCCGGTGGTGTCCCGATGGTATCCCGATGATGCCTCGCTCAAAATCAGCATCGTCACCATGATGGTCACCATCACAATCGCCATCATGCATCGTCACCAGCATCATCATCATGCATCGTCACCAGCTCGTGCGCGCATCACCACTGACGACCCCATCACAAGCATTGCAGTCGTCGCCAATTGGTGTGCCTAACTGTCTAAGCTTACCTGAGATCCGACGTTGCGAAAACATTGCAACACAATGAAAAAAACCCAAACCCAAGAACGAATCGTTCCGCGGCATACCTCGAGCCCGATCGATCCGGAAGAGTCCTGGTATCCGGCAATCCCAGCGTCACAAGAATTGCGACGCTTTCTGTTTCGTTGGGTTCCGAGCCCTTTTGTGATGTGGGTCCTCGTGTTGAATCCGCAGCGCCGCGCGTTTCCGTCCCACTGGCTCCCTCCCCATCCTCCTCCTGTTTGCCACGTGCTCCTGTGTGGAATTCGGTCCGTGTTTTGAATCAGCAACGCCGCGCCCCACCTCTTTCCGACACCCCCCCCGTCCTCCTCACCTCTCCTCCGGCGCACCCCTGAGGCGGATCGTGCCCCAAAGGAAGCTCCACCGGCGCACCCCTGAGGCGGATCGTGCCCCACAGGAAGCTCCACCCATGGCCCGAGCGGGCAGAATCGCCTGCGCCCCCCCGCCCACTTCGGCACACCCCTCACGGATCGCGCATATTCATTGAGACTTTCCAAACGGGGCCCGCACAAGTGAGGTCGGAGGCTCGCGCCCCACCGCCGATGCATCGACCGATGTTCTGGCGATGCATCGGCGACATCGGCGATGCGCCGGCGCTGTCGGCGATACATCGGCGATTTGACGCGACCCTCCGATCCCAACTCCTCGGGCTCACCATCTGGGAGACCCAGACACAGGGAGGTTCGCCACCATCGTTACACGAAACCGCTGACAAAAGTAGGCGTCCCGCCAAGATATTCTGGGGAAACCAAGAACGTACGCATACCGCTGCTCTCCAGGCCCCTCCCTCGGTGCGCTCTGACCGAAGTACCGAAGCGAACCCAGTCCTCAGTCGTGGCGACAAGGAACACCCTGGAGGCCAAACAACACCAAAACATGTTTCTCCTGTGAGAGTGGGGCCTGCCCCCAGGCTTTTTGCTTGGTCTTCGGGCTTTCTCGTCCTTGACCTCCACCGCGGCCAGCACGTGGCGACCTTACGCCGCAGCTCACACCGGCCGCCAGCGTGACACCTCGTGTGGAGAAGAGGGCGCCAACGCGCGATAACACGCGGGAAGTTTGCGCGCCGATGTCAGCGCAGTCGGCCTCGCTTTTCCGCAGATCACCTGGGAGGCCTGGACAGAAGCGAGGTCCATCACCATCCTTACCTGAAACCGCAGAAGGGGTGGGCTCCTTCGCCAAGCTCGTTTTGGGGGACATCAGGCAAGACTGGCACCGCTCCTCTCCGAGCCTCTCCCGGGGTGTGCTCTGACCAGGTTCCGGGGCGCACCCCGCCGCGGCGACAGAGGGCCACCCTGGAGGCCCTATCATGCGAAAGCGAGGCCAGGGGAGCCCCGAACATCCGACGGCACACTTTTTTGTTCCTCTGTGGGGCACCGAGAAGCGCCTGCAGCCTCTGCCTCAGCCCCTGGGTGCGGGCGCGACGCCGCTCCTGCCAAGACGCCCCGGCAACGGCCGGCCGAACTGGCCGCTCATGCCGACGACCCTTGTGCTGCGAAGGCTCTCCCACCCTCCCTCTTCGCCCCGCGGCCGTCTGGCCGAATATATTTATCTTGCCGCCGGACAATTCGTACGCTTCGCCCCAGCTACTAGATCGCGCGAGCGAATCGCCGCTGCCGCGCCGCGACGGAACAAAACGGGTCCCGAGAAGTCTCGTCCGATTCCCCAGGGCCAGTTTGTCATCCTTGCCTGTTGTCTGACAGTCCTGGGGCCCGGCGCGGGCCCCCAGAGGCCGAACGCGGCCAAACAACTTACAGCCAACCCGTATAATAAGGACGTTGGATGCACGTGCTTTGAGATGCCACGTCGACACTTTGCAAGCGGGGCGCGGCCAGCGAAAGCGGCACAGGATGGGTCGAAGGGGGAGGATTCCAGGGTAACCTTGGAAAGTCGCTCATCCTTACTATGCGGGTTCACACAATGTTGTGTTCTTTCGCAACGCCACCTCTCAGGGTTTGGTACCTTTTTCTCTTTTGAGGGTTGGGCTTGTCGCCAGGCCATTTGCTTGCTGCTTGGTCTTCGGGCCTCCTCGTCTTTGAACTTCAGCGCGGCCAGCACGTGGTGCTCCTCGCAGGGGGTGACCCAACTGTCTCATGCTTTGGTTGGAGGCGATTTGGCACGAAGGCGGTTGGACGGATCGCACAAACCAACGCCGTGGCGCAGGTCCGAGGTCGCGATCGGCCAGTGGTGGGCCCTCGAATGAGAACAGCGCAACACGACGAGAGAGAAAAACACGAGGCCGACTGGAAGGTCGCTGGGGGGGCAGCGTTGTTTCCAGGGCCAGATCCCCGTACGCTCGGCGGGCGCGCTTGATCGGTCAACAGCAATCCTTACAGCCGCCCTTCGCGAGAAGCTCTGATTTCAGGTTTACTCTTGCCGACGATGGGGCTGCTCATGCTGGCTCTTGCCCTACAAGAGCATTGCCCTCTCCCCCGTCGCCCCAGAAACACAGGTCGCGTTCGCTGCCCCTCAGCGAGCTTCAAAGAGCGACCCACGGGAGTGCCACACCAACGCTTGGTCGACCCCCGGGTCCTCCTGCGGCGCGCCGCGCTCCAGGAGCTCCACCCTGGCGCGGAGGTGAGCGGCCTCCGCGTCCCGCCGCCGCATGTCCTCGGGAGGCACGGACGTGCCTGCAGCCCACAGCTTGCCACACAGCGGAGGCCAGACCACAAGAAGCCTTCCACCAAGAAACCCAACCCTGAGACCCCAGGGCGTCCACTGGTTTTTGGTGTGGGAGCGTCACGCTCTCCATGGCAGAACCATGGAAACGCAAGAAACCCAGGGCACCCTGGATGCAGAAAAGGTGTTGTGGAGCCCCGAGACGGTGCGGTGACAGATCGTGCGGTGACCTCGAAATCCCCTAAGACTTCACCGCACGGTCCGTCAACGCACGGTTTTGGAACCTCGGATGCCCCAGTCGCCTGAGACGTCCTCGGAGAACGACCCGAGTCCCAAAACCGTGCGGTGACCCCTAATCCCCACCGACTCGCCGGACGGTGTGGTCACCACCCCGTTTGGGGACCCCCGAATGCTTCTTGGCACGGGTCTCCGCTGTACGAACCGGATTACCAGCCTGGAACATATCCCTATCTCTATGCCGGGCACCTCCTCATCACGATGCCAATCTTAGGGATTCCCTTATTTTTTGGAGGGCGAACCCCTAAGATTGTCCTCGCCTTTTGGCGTGTCAATCTTAGGGGTAGGGATACGTTCGAGGCTGGTAAAAAACCTTCCTTTCGCAAACCACCCTTCAGAGAAAACGGCCTATAGGACAGAAACCGACGGCCCTGGGCCCGCAAAAATGACGGCCGCGACGCCCCCTCGCGAACCGAAAACGTCCAATTCACTTATCGACGTGTCAGGGCAGGAGGTCTATCAAACTCCGAAAGACGTCGGAAGGCTGGAAAGCCCCTCTGGGGCCTCAAACACAGGGAGGTGCCTCTACCTGGGGTCCCAGATGCTGGCGTTGGTTCCAATCTTTCGGCCGTCTCGGAAGCCCGAATATCTCCACCATCACCGAGATCGGGATCATCTTCCCTCGGTGGTGGCACACCTCCGAAGGGCCCTCGGAAGAGGAGCGAAACCCCTCCCCAGTGGGTGGGCCTCGATCAGATCGCAAGGCCGCCAATATGGTCCTCTGAGGGCCCCACGATGTTCCCAAGATGCCTACGAGAAGCTTCTGGAGCGTGACTGCATGCTGCTCCCTGATCAGGGCAACTCGAATGGTGATGTTAGCTCCCGCCCCCTTCCTCCTGTTTTTTCATTGGCTCAAGCATTTTTGGATGGGCTGGTAGAAATACGCGAGGCGCCAACTATTTTGTCGTGGACCCTCGGACAAATAACGAAACCACCCTTAGGCCTTTATCGGATGGGACCATTTCGGCATCCGCAGCGAATGCACGATCGAATCGCTGCTGCAAATCCGCTGGCTCCCTTGTGGGGACATCAGGATGCGTGGAATAAGCTTGCTGCTCCCTGCTCCAGTTCCAAGTTTCAAGTCTCCCATGTTACATGCCTGTTTTCTGCTTCCTACTGTCAATTGTTACTGTCCGCGCGAGGGGGGGCGCTATAAAGTAGTCTTTTACCTTCACTGGATCGCGTGCTCAGAACTTCTGCGGGGACGCGGGACTAGAAAAATGCCTGCGCCCTCGAGGCCACGATCCCTCGTTAAAATACGCGATGTTCGCATCGCCGAGGCACGATCTAATGCAAATTACACAATACTTGCGTTTCGCAGGCCACGCTCCCTCGTAAATAATTCAAGATCCTCGTCCCAGAGGCCACGCTCCCCCTCGTACTTTATCCCATGTTCGCGTCGCCGAGGCCGCGCTCCCTACTGAATTGTACAATATTTGCGCCCCCGAGGCCGCGATCACGAGTGAATTATGCAATATGGACGTTCCCGAAGCCGCGATCGCCAGCAAATCACTCCATACTTGTTCGCGTCCCCGAGGCCACGATCCCCGGTTAAAGTACACCAGTCTCGCGTCTCCGAGGCCCCGATCGCTGGAAATTAGACGATGCTCGCGTCCCCGAGGCCCCGATCCCTTGAAAAAATGCTTCGTGCGCGCCGAGACCGCGACATCCAGTGAACTACATCGTGCCCGCGCCCCCGAGGCAACGAGTCCCAGTAAAATTGCTCCATGATCGCGTCCCCGAAGCCACGACCCATTGCAACATAATGCAGAGGAGCCCGAAGACCGTCCGAGCCGCGCGGTTCTGCCCAACGTGGCCTGAAGCAGCCCACAGCCGTTCCAAGAGGACCTCCAATACATGGCATGAAGGGCGTTCGAAAAAGGCAACGCGCACAATTCGACTACATCGGCGGTGAACAAACCTCCCTTTAGTAAACCACCCTTTAGTCAAAACGGCCTAGGACCGAAACCGACGGACCTGGACCCACAAAAATGACGGCCGCAACGCCCCCTCGCGAAACGAAAACGGCCAATTCGCTAATCGACGTGTCAGGGTAGGAGGTCTACCAACCTCCGACTACATAGTCTGCATCTCCACTTGCTCTGAAGAGTGCCAGCCGTCCTCGAACGAGGTTTCGATGACACTTCACGACGGCGCCCGGGCATCCTAGCATAGCTTTAGGTCGGGCGTGCCCCCTATTCTAGGCGGATGTGGGCCGATTATGTGTTCGAAGATAGGCGAAACATATTCGAACATAGTGAACAAACGTCCCCATACTATTTTTGGGGGCGTGTCCCTCTATTACAGGCGGATTGGGGACGATTCTTCTTTTCGAAAGGAGGCCAACCATATCCGAAAACAGTCCATCAATCGTCCCCATACAATTTTTCCCAACCATCCTGTGGTGTTGGGTCCTCGTTTTGAAGAGACGGTCCCCGCGTTCTCCTCATCTCGTGCCCCCCCCCCTCCTCCCTACCGTCCGCATGCGTCCCGCACACCCAGTACAGCGCTTCGTGGCCCCATAGGGAGCCCCACCGAAGGTCCCAGTGCTACCGTCCGCATGCGTCCCGCACACCCAGTACAGCGTTTCGTGGCCCCATAGAGCTTCACCGAAGGTCCCAGTGCTACCGTCCGCATGCGTCCCGCACACCCAGTACAGCGTTTCGTGGCCCTCCTCCCCCTCCTCCCTGCGTTTCACCTACCCAATACAGCGCTTCGTGGCCCCATAGGGAACCCCACCGAAGGTCCCAGTGCTATCGTCCGCATGTGTCCCGCAAACCCAGTACAGCGTTTCGTGGCCCCATAGGGGGAGCCCCACCGAACGTCCCAGTGCTACCGTCCGCATGTGTCCCGCAAACCCAGTACGGCGTTTCGTGGCTCCATAGGGAGCTCCACCGAAGGTCCCAGTGCTACCGTCCGCCTGCGTCCCGCACACCCAGTACAGCGTTTCGTGGCCCTCCTTCCCCTCCTCCCTGCGTTTCACCCACACAGTACAACGTTTCGTGGCCCCATAGGGAACCCCACCGAAGGTCCCAGTGCTACCGTCCGCATGCGTCCCGCACACCCAGTACAACGTTTCGTGGCCCCATAGGGAGCCCCACCGAAGGTCCCAAGGCTACCGTCCGCATGCGTCCCGCACACCCAGTACAGCGTTTCGTGGCCCTCCTCCTCCTCCTCCTCCCTGCGTTTCACCCACCCAATACAGCGCTTCGTGGCCCCATAGGGAGCTCCACCGAAGGCCCCAGTGCCCACGTCCGCATGCGTCTTGAAGCCCAATTTGGCATTTTCACCCACCCAGTGCAGCGTTTCGTGGCCCCATAGGGGGCTCCACCCAAGGCCCCAATGCCACCGTCCGTATGCGTCCGGGAAATGTAATTTGGTATTTTCACCCGCGCAGTGCAGCGTTTCGCTGCCCCACAGGTGACTCCACCGAAGCCCCCAGTGGGACCGTCCGCATGCGTCCCGGTAACCCAATTTAGCATTTTCACTCACTCAGTAGAGCGCTTCGTGGCCCGGTATGGAGCTCCACCGAAGCCCTCAATGGGACCGTCCGCATGCGTCCCGGAAACCCAATTCGGCACACTACCCACACAGTACAGCGTTCCCCCCCGCCCAGTGCAGCGCTTCGTGGCCCCATAGGGAGCTTCACCGAAGCAGATATTCACAATTACGGTACCCACACCTGCATATGGTTGGGACCTTCGCCAGGATAATTTTGGGGGCTATTGTTGGATAGTCCTCCTGTATCGGGAACGTCCAAGAGGGGGGCGTCCAAGAGGAGCGTGTGCAAATCATGGCCCGAGGCATGTGTGCGGACCAGGGGGGGACCAGGGAACGTACTGAAATAAGAGGAGGCGCCATGAAATCTGGGGAGATGCCATGGCCCTCGCCATGAGATCCACCGCCCCCTGGTCATCACCCCCCTCTTGGCCGCCCCCGACTGTGGAGGGGCATGGCTCCTGCCTGCCCCATCCTCGCCGAGAGAGGGGGGCGGCAGAGGGTTCCGCGGCCTCCCCGCGCGCCGAGCCTCTCGGGCCCTCCCCCCCCGCCCGGGGGGCGCTCCGGAGCCAGGCGTCCCCCCCGCCGGCTGGCCCTGAAGCGGTGGCAAGAGCGGCCTTCGGTGCATTGCTGGAGGCCTGGGCATGGGCACCAACACCAACACAGGAAGTTCGGGCCGGGCGAAAGGGGGGATCGCAAGGGGGGGTTTGAGAATCAGTTCACGTAGCTGATTTTCCCGGCGCCTCCCGGCGCCGGGAGGCGCCCACGTATCGAGGACTGGGCCTGGCGGCGGGGCCGAAACCAGCTGCATGCAGCAGATTTCGTAACCCTCCCTTTCCGTATCCCCCCCTTTCGTTCGGCCCGAGTCTTGAAGCTGTGGCGGAGCGGTCTTCAGTGTATTTCTGGGGGCCTGGAAATGGGCATCAGCACCGACAAAGGAGGTTGCCTCCACAGGGGGGAAGAGGATCGTTGATGACGGTGCTGGCGGTAATAGTTCGGCCACCTTGGACGCCAGAGTATCACCACCATCACCGAGATCGGGATCGCCTTCCCTGGGTGGAGGCACACTGCCGATCTTGGTGTTGGTGACAATCTCAAAACATCCGATATTGGGGGAGCGACCTCGACGGCACAGCGGAGACGAACTGTTGTGTTGTGCGCTTTTTGCCACAGCAAGTCCTTGAGCAGAGGCAGACCGTCCCGGCATGCCTAGAGTCCTACCAGGAAATGCTTTTAGAACCCCAAAATGGTCCAAAAACAAAAATCAGGTCCTTGGAGTATACACTCGATGCGCTAAAAGAAGACGGTCCCAGCCAGAAGTGTTCGAAGAACACTTCGTGCAGACCGCAAAGGGTCTCAGACCATGTCTTGGTGGGCCTGTAGGAAAGCCAGGACGCTTCGCCACTGTTCAAAAGTCCGGGGCGTCGGCACAGCTGCGACGCATTACTGCACGCTTCTCTGGGGGAGCGAACAATGACATAAACATAAAAAGTTGGAGGTCCGCGCGGATTTCTCGGACCGGCGCCGGACCCCCCTCCCTGGCGCGCGGAGCGCGCCGGGGGCGGCGCCGGAGGCGGCGCCAGGAGACCCCAGCGCGGATCCGAGCAATCCGCGCGGACAACCGAAATGTTATGTTCAAGTCATCGTTCGTTCCCCTAGTCTTGTGCGCTTATTTCAGGTCGGGCCTGTCACCCTACAGGCGGATTTTGGACGAAAAATTAAAACGACCCCAAAAATGCCCAACAAATGCCCAAAGATGGTCAACACATCGTCCCCAGACTGTTTTTTTCCCTACCTAGGCTCTGCCTAGAGGGTTCTTACTCTCTTAGCTTAAAGGGGCCGGGGAGTGCTACACGCCCCGGGCGGTTCCCCCGGTCCCCGCCCCGCGGTTCCCCCAGTCGCGCTCCCTTAGCGTGGCTTAGCTTATCTCGTCTTAGCTTAGCTTGGCTTAGCTTAGCTTGGCTTAGCTCAGCTTAGCTTAGCTTGGCTTACCTTAGTTTCGCTTCGCTTAGCTTAGCCTAGCTTAGCTTAGCCTAATGTAGCTTAGCTTAGCGTAGCATAGCATAGCATGGCATGGCATAGCACAGCATATCATAACATAGCACAGTATTGCATAGCATAGCTTAGCATAGCTTAGCATAGCGCCCCCTTAGCTTGGCTTAGTCTTAGCTTAGCGCAGCATAGCTTAACGCAGCATTAGCACATCATAGCATAGCATATCATAGCCAATCATATGATAACATAGCATAGCATACTTCAGCACATCATAGCATAGCATATCATAGCATATCCTAGCATAGCATAGCATATCATAGATGCAGGTGTAGATGTAAATGTAGCTGTCGGTGTAGATGTAGATGTTGCTTTCCTAAATGCTCCAACTCCTAGGTAGGGTCGCACTGGGATAATATTATTTTTGAACACTTCCCATGTAGAGGGACAGGCCCGACTTAACGCTTGTTGCCTGCGCAGGTCCAGGGCGTGCTGGCTCTGCTGCAGGCTCAGGAGCTGCTCGTACCCCATCGTGGCCCGCCAGGCGACCTCGCGGCGGCGTGCCGGACGGGGTGGGGCGAGAGGGGCGGCCTTCCTCCACGCAAGCGGGCGGCCGCCCAGGGGGGATCGGGAGCTTTGGGTCGGGCCTGTCCTCCTGCAGGCGGGCCCTGGAGGAAGAAAGCAGAATGGTCAACACAAATGCCCCAACATATTGAAAACCACACAAGAAAAATCGTTCCCAAACTGTTTCTGAAATAATGTAAATCACATCAGAAAATCGGAACCACATAAGAAAACCAATACGAACACTACATAAGAAAACTCGTCCCCAAAAATAGTGTAAACCACATAGGAGAATCGTCCCAAAATTGTATGTTTCCACTATTTTTGGAGTTCTCCCCCTGTAGGAGGACACGCCCGACTTCACGGAAACTTTCCATGGGGCTCTCTGGACCGGAGGGAGAGAGAAGGGGCCCAGGGCCCGTGCCCGCAAACCCTCCCAGGGAAACAAGCAATGACATAAGCACCATGGAGGGGGGAGGGGGGGGTTAGGAGGCAACTACTAGGGAGGTCTTCGTCGGAAAGATTGACTAGGATTAAGCCCCATTGGGGGGCTCTGACGCCGGAGTGGGCCTTGGACTAAGCGGGATTAAACCAGATTCAGCAAGATTGAGCGGGGTTAAGCCAGATTAAGAGGGATTAAGCCGGATTTCGGACCAGGGCAAAATCGGAATTTGACCTCCCAGGAGTTGCATCCGAAGGGGGGGGGTGCGAGGGCCCGCGCCGATCGGCAAAACAACGACTAAAAACCCGATCACGAGGAGAAAGGGCCGAGGGTCGATGCCCCCCTACCTTAGGGAAGCGAGCACCGACATAGACGCTAAAACTCATAGGTCCGCGCAGATTGCTCGGATCCGCGCTGGAGCCCCCCGAAGCGGCGCCTCCGGCGCCGCCCCTGGCGCGCTCCGCGCGACAGGGAGGGGGGTCCAACGCCCATCCGCGGCATCCGCGCGGACCTCGAAGTTTTTGTTCACAGTCGGGGTGGATTGGAGAGGACCCTCGAGAGGACACAAGACCCTCCCGATGGCCAAAGTGCCAGTGGAACGTAGGGGGCATGGGTCGCGAGACACAGGACACAAGGGTACCCTTGTTTGGGCAGGGTCGACCTACTAATCTTAGGTCCCCCTGCAGGCGGATGTTTGACGAAAAATGCATAAATACTCCAAAAATGGGGGGACAAACAAACAAACATTGTCAAAAATCGCCCCCAGACTATTTGCAAAGCATCCTCGAAATTTCCCCCAAACTCGAGCATATGCCATTGTTCGCTCCCCTGAGAGAGGGCCGAGAGCCTATGCCCGCCTGCCGGGCCAGCAGGCAGACGCCCCGCCCCCCGCCTCACCGCCAATGAGACTCCCGGGCCCCTTCCGGAGCCGCGTCCTGGTCAGCCTAGCCTGCCGAACCGCGCCCGGCCGAGGCGCCGGACATCCCAGGCAGCGCACCCCCAAATAGACGAGCGCGCTCCACTGCTCGCAGAGTGACTGCTCGCAAATGGCCCAGCTCCGCCGCGGGGGGCCCACGATGAACTACCTCGAAAACGGGCATGCGCTGTCCGGACGATTGCGAGTAGGCACTCTGCGAGAGTCGTGGAGCGCGCTCGGCGACCAAAGCCAGAACCGCCCCCCAGAAGCCCGACGCCTCCCAGAGCCCACGCCCGGCAGGAGGAGGAGGAGGAGGAGGAGGAGGAGGAGGAGGAGGAGGAGGAGGAGCAGGAGGAGGAGGAGGAGGAGGAGGAGGAGGAGCCCCGCCTGGGCGTGGCGACGAGAACCCCCCGCGACGCGCCTCCCCCAACCGCGTCGCCGACGACGCCGCCGCCGCACGCCGCCGTCCGCGCCGCCCTGCCCCCCTTCTGCGCGCAGAGCCTCCGCGCCCTGGGCTGGCTCCTCCCCGTCCGTCGCCGTCGCCGGGGCTCCGGCTTGCGGCCTGCCGGCCGCCATCGCCGAGGGCACGCCTCCGCGCGTCCTCCTCCTCCTCCTCCTCCTCCTCCTCCTGCTCCTACTCCTCCTCCCGGAAGATACAGGCATTTGAATGTTTTTTGTTTCTGGCCTTGTCGGGGCGCGCGGAGACCTACGACACGATCCCGCCCCTCATCATTCCTCTACTCCTGCTCCTCCGACCTTGTCGCCGTCCCCCTTCCGCTTCTGCCCCTCTTGCCTCCTGCATGCCTTTTCCCTCAAGATAACTGCTCCCCGTCGCACCCCCAGACGTGTGGGTAAATCAGGCTGGGCGTTGCGCCTGACATGTTTCCCCTGACTGATCCTGAAGCTTGAAATCTGTAGCAGCTGCCAAGATGGAGGGTGGCGGGGACTTTTCAGATTGAGGCTTCCCCGCATTAGCGCCGCGCACATTCGTCCCAAATGTTTGCAATAGCCTCCAGGGTGCACAGGGGTGGCTTTCCAAAATTGAGCTCTCACAGCAACGCTGCATTCATTCGTCATAAAAGCTTGCAACAATTACAAGGATGAAGAAGAAAACGTTTTCAAAACAAACTCCCGCCTTAGCGACCTGGAGAAGATTCGTCTTCAAAGCTGGTTGCAAATACAAGGCTAGAAGGCGTTTCCTTATGAAAATGCGGCTCTCGCGCTAGCGACCTCGCACGTTGGTCTTACCAAGATGGAAGGGTGGGGGTGGGTGGTTGGGACGTTGTTGTCAAACGGAACGGAACGGAACGGAAGGGAAGCCGGCTAGTGGCTCCGCGAGGGAGCTGCCGGGGGGGGGGCCTAAGCCCACTCACTTGGTTGATGCACCCCCTGTTGATGCACTCCTCTTTAGCAAACGTGTTGATGTACCCCTTGTTGTCTTCAAGAGGAACTCCAACCTTTGAGCGCAGCGCGCATGCGTCTTCTAAGGTACTGCAGCATCTGCGAGGATGGAGGGCGACTCAGCTTGTTTGGAAAGGGCTCTCGCCAGAGCGCAGCGCACATCCGTCTCAAACGCTCGCCACCGTTCACGCTGCGCCCCTCGCCTGAGAACTGCTCCACCTAAACGACCAGAAGGTTGACCACATACAGCCATCGGCCTGACCTAAGGAACGATAAATAAGGAACGAAGCCCCTTCCTCCCAAGGAATCACGCATACGGAACGACGAATAATAAATGACGCATCATCATCAGAAACGGTGAATAACGCATGCAAGCCTAAGGAACGCCCGAGCCCCTTTTGAAAAGTAAGTGTTTCTCATCCAAGCCGCTCACTGTAAGACACCTGCGCAGGTGAAGGCGGTGCCCTTCCAACATGGAGCTCTCGCTTCACGCGTGCTCAGGTGTATGGCCAGACACGTAGGCTAAGGGAACAGTTTCACGGGCGAGAGGCGATTCCTTTTCAAAACGGGGCTCTCGCTGGATACATCGTTGATCTGTTGGCTAAAACCTTTGCGGACTCCGTGCAACTCACTGAACTTGTACAAGGCAAGTCCTTTCCAAAGCAGGGATCTCGCCTTAGCTGCAGGCCCGTGGGGTGCTCCGTCTTTCCAGGGGGCGCTCTTCGTCGTGAAAAGGCAGGCTTGCAGGGCAGGGACCTCTCACGAAGGGACTTGGGACTGAAGGGTGTGCTGCAACATCGTTGATGCATCCTGGGCTTACGCTGGTCCTCTTTCTCATTCTCCTTTCTTCACTCTTCTTTTCTCACCCCCCCGCTCCTTCTCTTTCACCTTTGGGGCCTTCGATCCAACAACGAAGCCGGTCCATCTGCGCCTCATCAACTGGCCCCGTCATCCCCCCCCGGTCCCCAATCCTCATCCGTCCTCACGCACCCGCCTCCCCGTGCTGTTCCTCCTCCCCACTCCTCCTCTCGGCACCTTCGTCGTTGCCCTCCTCCTCCGCCTCCTCCTCCTCCTTCTCCTCCTACTCCTCCTCATCTCTCCCGCAAGCACAGGTGGCAAAAGGCATCGTACCGTTTTGGGCTCGAGGTAGTCATAGAGCGCCCAGCCACTTGCCTTCGCGTGGTGTTTGAGCTCCCGCCACATGGTAATCCATGATGCTTTTCGCATTTGTCGAGGGTTGCTGGCGTGGGATGTCAACGTTTTCTGATTCGGCGTTTCGACATTGGGCGGAAGGGGGGGGGAAGAACAGGGAATCTGCTCCAGACCTCTGACTAGGTGGGACTGTTCTGTTTGCAGCAGTGCGTCACATGGAAGAGATCCCACCTGCTCGAAACAGGCGCCAAATCCAGCCAAGATCTGGTCCATGGGTGGGGGTGGAGGGAGGTGCGAGGGCCCGCGCCGATCGGCAAATCAACCAATCACGAAACGATCACGATGGCACGAATGAGCGAATTCAAGTCTAATGCTCAGCAGGCCTTGTGAGACCGTGCATTCTCATGTTTCAACTGTCGTTGTATTGGATTGCATGTGCTGTGTTTCATATTGCTCTGTCACATATTCGAATGTTGGTTGTTATTCTTGTGCGACAGAGTCAGCGCGGGGTGCAGATTCTCATCGTCAGGTCGTGGGTGCAGCTGGCCATCAGCCTCGACGCTGGGGCCTTGGCATGGCTCGTTAGGGAGTGCACTTCTGTTGTCAGTTCCACGCCCAGCTGGGGCCAGGCACCACCAGCTACACTGCTGGCTGGCATCTCCCATCTCCACTTGGGGAGGGCATTGCAATGTGCAGTCGGTTGTGGTTTGCATGTGTGTCCATATGTTGTTGCCCCCTTACGGCACTGGGCGTTTCAAGAAACGGACATTTATACTTTCTATGGTTGGCTATATTGTGTTCTGGACACCGTGCATAGTGCCACGTTGTACCTTCAAGCTTTCTGGCTGTTCTCCAATTGCCTAGATGTGTGCAAGCTGTGCGCTTCGTCACCCGCTCGAGTCTCGCCGTAACGCCAATGCACTAGCTTCGGTGTGTGCCAACACACTACGGCACTGAGTGGGGGGCACTTGTTTTGTCGCGTGCAACGGGCGGGTGGGTATTTCTGCGGGGATGGTGTTCGTGGGACGCAATGGGCGTGCAATGCTAGGCGCGATTTGCTTCATAATACAGTCA